AACTCAAAATGGGCCTTCCTTTTGAGAAAATGTAAAGAAAATATTATTAATTCATATCTTTTAAAGCATTATTTTCTCAAATGTTGTTTTCATAAATTGTGTTGTTTCATGTTTCATAAAATAGATGATGTTATTCTAGATTATTATGATAACATCTAAGAAAACTTTTCCAGGGCAGGAAATGATGTAATAAATAACATAAATTAAAGAAGATGATCAAATTCAGTGACCGTTTTAAATGTTAAGGGTTTCTTTAGAAGAGGAGATAATTTTGAGCTTTTCCTTATGAGCCTAGAATATCTGCAAAATTCATGTGACTACTTATTTTCAGCATGTAGACATTCAGGTGCATTGCTGAGAACACGAACGGCTGTTATTATCTTCTCACATTTTCATTCTTCTCTTGCCTTGAAGTGATGATTCAGTTGTAAGCTAGGTTCCCTCCCAGGAAGGCTGGTAACTCCCTTTTGTAGGTTAAGGATTGATTCCTACACCAGAGGAAGAGGGGTTGCTTTAATTATTTTATTTCAAACTGGGAAGAACGTTCCTTTGATTTTGCAATTCACTTTCGGATCTTGTGATTTAGCAATTCTGATTGACAGGGTTTGAACCTGCAACTGAAATATCACCTTACAAATCAAAGCTAACGTTTAGGAGAAGCCTGTCCTTCCTTCATTACTGAGTACATACTGTGAGCTAAATGCTCTTCTGGACTCTGGAGATACAGATGTGAAAAAACAGACAAACATTCCTCCTCTCAGGGGAGTTTTCACTATTGTGAGTAGAAGCAGACAGCAAATAAGGTACCTAATAAGTCAGTTTGTGTATTAGTCAGGGTTCTCTAGAGGGACAGAAATAATAGGATAGATGTATATATAAAGGGGAGTTTATATATACTAAGGAGTATTGACTCACACAATCACAAGATGAGGTCTCACAATAGGCCATCTGCAAGCTAAGGAGCAACGAAGCCAGTCCAAGTCCCAAAACCTCAAAAGTAGGGAAGCCGACAGTGCAGTCTTCAGTCTGTGTTCAAAGGTCCAAGTCCCAAAGCTGAAGAACTTGGAGTCTGATGTTCGAGGGCAGGAAGCGTCCGGCACGGGAGGAAGATGTAGGCCAGAAGACTAAACCAGTCTAAATTTTCCACGTTCTTCTCCCTGCTTTTATTCTGGCTGCACTGGCAGCTGATTAGAAGGGTGCCCACCCAGATTGAGGGAGGGTCTGCCTTTTCCAGTCCAATGACTCAAATATTCATCCCCATGGCAGCATCCTCACAGACATACCCAGGAGCCACACTTTGCATCCTTCAATCCAATCCAGTTGACACTCAGTATTTACCATAACAGTTAGTAATAAGGGCTTGGAGAATAATGAAGCAAGGCATAATCATGGTGTTTTGTTTTGTTTTGTTTTGGTAAATGGAGCAAAGCATATGTAGCTATTTTTGTTAAATAGGGTCACCTTTAGTAGACCTGCAGCAGGAAAGGAGCCAGCTGTGGAGACATCAAGGAAAGCGTTTAGGCAAAGGCAGAGGAAAAGCCTTAGTAGCATCACAGTTTTCCTCTCCAGGAAATCGCATGGGAACCAGTGTGGCTGGGCTGAGGGGCGAAGGTGATAAAAGGAAAGGTGCTCTGGGAGGTAACTGAGGCACGAGTTGCAGGGCATTCAGGACTGTGCAGTACAGAATCATCAGACTGCTGTGTTCAGAAAAACCTCTAGGGAGGCAGTGGTGAGCCCTTGGCAATAATCAGGGAGAGGTGATGTTGGCTTGGCCCAGGACGTTTAAGTGGTGAAAGGCAGTTAAATTTCCATTACACTTTGAAGGTAGTGCTAACACAGTTTGCTCAAGGGATGTGAGTGGAAAATAAATGTATGACTTCCAGGGTTGGGGCCAGAGCAACTGGAAAGAGCAATTCCCATGTACTGTGATGGGAGTGTCAGTGGTAGGCTATGTGTGGTGGGATATGTGTTGGTGGTGGGCTATGCGTAGGGATCATGATTTTGCTTTGGGGCACATTAGTTTTGAATGCCTCTGAGACCTCCAAGTGGAGCTACTGGAATGTATTTTTTTGAGTATTGATATTTGAATGATTGCATCTGCATTCAGGGGCATAGTCTATGTTGAAGACATCAATTTGAAAGTTATCAGCACAAAGATTTTTTAAAAACTGTGATACTTGATGAGATCTCTAGAGAGTGAGTGTAGATGAGAAGAGAGAGGCCCCTGAATTCAGACGCAGAATACTCTCCTGTCTAGAGATCATGGGATGTTAAGGATCATGGAGCATGGGGCTGAAAAATAGCTTCTGTTGAAACTGAATGAAAATCCAGTAGAGGCTGGGCGTGATGGCTCACGCCTGTAATCCCAGCACCTTGGGAGGCCGAGGCGAGTGGATCACCTGAGGTCAGGAGTTCAAGACCAGCCTGGCAAACATGGTGAAACCCCATCTCTACAAAAATACAAAAATTAGCCAGGCATGATGGCAGGTGCCTTTAATGCCAGCTACTCGGGATGCCGAGGTGGGAGAATCTCTTAAATCAGGCAGGCGGGCAGAGGTTGCAGCGAGCCGAGATCACACCATTGCACTCCAGCCTGGGTGACTGGGTGACAGAGCGAGACTGTCTCAAAAAAAAATCCAGTAGAGTAATGTCCTGAACACCAAATGAAGGTTGCATTTCTAAGAGAAGGAAGTGATCAGCGGTGTTGTGAATATTGATGAGTGGGGGAGTCCTCAGATGGCTCTGCCAAATCTCCTTACTGGGGTGCTTCCCATTGCGATAACAAGAGGAAGAAAACATTTCCTCCTTACATATGTGATGTTCAGACCTCATAGGAGCCACCTGATGCAGTACTTGTCTACTTTTGACCTGCAGGTCATCTACCTCATATTACTTGTGTGTTTCATGTAAGATATACATAATCCTGGGTCCCACCTGCACTCAGGGAATCAGCATATCCCAGTATAAGTCTTGGACATTCCAGAGATTCCTGATGTTGATTGAGAATGGCTTGACTCAGAAATACCATTTGATCCAGCAATCTCATTACTGGGTATATACCCAAAGGAATATAAATCATTCTGTTATAAAGATGCATGCACACTTGTGTACACTGTAGCACTATTCACAATAGCAAAGACATGGAACCAACCCAAATGCCCATCAACAGTAGGCTGGATAAAGAAAATGTGGAACATATCCACCATGGAATACTATGCAGCCATGAAAAGGAACAAGATCATGTCCTTTGCAAGGACATGGATGGAGCTAGAAGCCATTATCCTCAGTGAACTAATGCAGGAACAGAAAATGAAAGACTGCATGCTCTCAATTATAAGTGGGAGCTGAAGGATGAGAACACATGGACACATGGAGGGGAGCAACAGATACCAGGGCCTGCTTGGGGGAGGTGGGGAGGTAGAACATCAGGAAGAACACCTAAATGGTTGCTGGGCTTAATACCTAGGTGATGGGTTGGTTTGTGCAGCAAACCACCATGGCACACATTTACCTCTGTAACAAGGCTGCACATGTACCCTGGAACTGAAAATAAAAGTTAGTTTAAAAAAAAGAGAGAATGACTTGACTAGCAGTATCACATAATACGCTTTCGATTAGCCTCTTACCTAAAAAATACTATGAAGCTTTCTTATTTTACAAAATAAAGGAACTAACCTAACTAAATGTCCAGACATGATATATCATAGAGGAAAGCAATACGTTTCAAAAAATACCTTATGTTTCCATCATTCCAAAACCACGAATGACTGAGAGTAAAAACATGGATTTTTTTTCTCCGGTCTTCTTCATTTATATCAAGTTAGATATGACTTTTTTGAGCCTCCAACACAGATGGTACTATAATTAGAATTATTTACAGCATCTTCCCATGATGGCATCTTGAAATGAAACCCTCTGTAAATCACCGGTGGTGAGCAGCATCTCCACTTGCTCAATTTGTAACAGAAAATGAAGTAAAGACCCTCCAGCTTTGCTATATTTAGTCTTCTTCATATATATAGTTTCAATGGAGATTTGTGAGGTGGTAATTCCAGCACCTCATCTTTCTCTTGACAGCTGAGAAGCTTTTCGTTAATAAGACAAACCAGAAATGGTACAATCACAAAAATGAATGCTATCCGTAAGTCATCCAGTGTGCAATGTGGATAAAAAATAGTGCAGGTTTTAATTTTTTTTCTTTTCTGATTTCGCTTTATTGCTCTTAGCTGATGCAAGAATCGCCAGCTACAGGGCATGAAGATGAAAACAATTACTTGTGTGAGCTGAATTTCTTTTCAGAGTGTTAAAAGGTGATTCTTTGTTGCTTACCTATTTAATGTCAATTCACCCCGGTTGAATTATACTATATTTTACCAAAATGTGTCAATTTCAGCACAGTAAAAATTTGGCTGGGTTGCCCTGGTATGGAAATGCCTAAAACGATCCTTCTGTATTACAAATTTGGACCAAACGAATTTATATTACTGTTTAATAGACTGTCCTTTAATATGAGGCTTAACAAGGAGATCTTACTTAATTGCTTGTTGTCAGCTTTGCTTTTCTTTTACCTTTTTTTTTTTTTTTTTTTTTTTGGAGACAGTGTCTCATTCTCTTGCCCAGGCTGGAATGCAGTGGTGCTAATCACGGCTCACTACAGCCTTGACCTCCCAGGTTCAAGCAATCCTCCCGCCTCAGCTTCCTGAGCAGCTGGGACCACAGGCATGCACCATCCTGCCCAGCTAATTTTTTATATTTTGTAGAGACAGGGTTTCACTTTGTTGCCCAGGCTGTCCTCAAACTCCTGAGCTCAAGAGCTATGCCAGCCTCAGCCTTGCAAAGTGTTGGGATTATAGACATGAGCCACCATGCCCCTTCACCCCCGTTTTCAGCTTTCCTACCTATAGAAAGCAACGCTTCACGTGTTGACCCTGTAGTCATTACATGTCCAAAGATGTTAGTTTTGTGGATTCATATGATGTGTCTTTGTACTGGAATTTCAGATCCATCTGCCCCACCAGCGCCGGCTAACCTCCGATTGGCCAACTCCACCGTCAACAGTGATGGGAGTGTGACCATCACTATAGTTTGGGATCTCCCTGAGGAGCCAGACATCCCTGTGCATCACTACAAGGTCTTTTGGAGCTGGACGGTCAGCAGTAAGTCTCTTGTCCCAACGAAGAAGAAGCGGAGAAAGACTACGGATGGGGTGAGTGGGAACTGGAGGAAGGATTGTTCTTCCCACAGAGTGAATTTCAACTCAAGGCAACTGGCCTGAAAAGAGGCCTCTGCTGAACTGAGAGAAGCCGTTGATGCAGGAAAGCTTCCCTCCCATTCACGTCTACCAAGGAAGTTCACAGAATGCAGGGTCATGCCAGCTGTGCTGCCTTTGATATTTTAGGCAGAAGCATTGGCATTTAGACCGTTGACCTCCTCCTATCTAAATGTCAGTCACAGCTCTGGAAATCAAAGGAACAGTTTAAATGATCTCCATCTTACCTGTCTGGCCATAGAAAATGATATTATGCAAAATGTGCTTTACTTTTAGGTGTTTTTTTTTTTTTTTTTGAGAGAGAGAGAGATCCTTGTAAATGAAAGAGTGGATATTCATGGCTTTTCTGTTGTGAGGTGTTTCCGTCTATAATCTAATCACTGAGCAGTAACAGCTTAGGAAGGGCACATGTCACAATATGGTCTTCTCATTGATTAAAAGGATCTGGAGTGGTTTATTCGTCAGATGCCAAGAAATAAAATCTTCATTGAACCATTTTCTGCAGTGAGATTCTTACGATGTCAATCATCTTGTATTATTTGAAATGCTTACTGCATAAAAATAGTTACTTGGATTCCTTTTAGTATACATTCCTTTATCTTGTCATAAAATTTACATAAAGACCTTTTCCTGTCACTTATAAAGTTGAATTTCGTAGATAAATGTTTAGAAATGAAAAGATAGCAAGGCTAAAGATTTCAATATCTGTGCCCTTCAGAATTATAAAACATGCCTCAAAAGTCTGTATCATTGATATTTAGCCATTATACTATTTTCACTTTATTTTTATGAAATTTTATGACAGTTCCATTTTTCATATTGAAGGATTTTGCTAGAAATGACAGTGGTAGTGCACACTTACCTCATGAGCTGAAAGAGCTGAAATTGGGGAGTCGCTTAGGAATCTAGAGGAAAAAGTGACATGATGACATGCTGACAGGCCCCGCCCTCCAGCCCCCACCCAGTACATTATGACAGAAAATTATGAAGCACCTTGAAGCATTTTGTCAAGTGGATTTTTCTTTTGCATAGCTTTTGGTGGAAATTTGCTCCTAGAAAATTTAGAACAGATATCAAAGAATTACAATTAGTGCCAGTTCATAATTTTTCCAGGTATGTGGCAACATAAACCTCTGTTACTTTATTACAAACAGCTCCCTTTCCTCTGAGAGGTGGTGTCTCAGAGTGCAGAGGGCTCAGAATGATTTATTTCCATGTTATCTGAGACCACTAATTGGTTTAGAAACAGTATTTTCGAAATACATTTGGCCTTTCTATGAAGTTTATTTTTAGTTTTTATTTTATTATATTTTTTGAGACAGGGTCTCACTCTGTTGCCCAGGCTGGAGTGCAGTGGTGCGATCACAGCTCACTGCAGCCACAACCTCCTGGGCTCAATCTTCCCGCCTCAGCCTCCTGAGGAACTACGGTGCACAGCACCATGCCCAGTTAATTTTTTTTTTTTTTTTTTTCTGTAGAGACAGTCTTGCTATGTTGCCTGGGTAGTCTCAAACTCCTGGGCTCAAGCGATCCTCCCACCTCAGGCTCCCAAAGTGCTGGGATTGCAGTCAGGAGCCATGGCACCTGGCCTGAAGTTTATTTTGATCCGTAGTAAAACTGAATTTTCAGATTCCAAAGATATAGAAAAGTTGGTAAAAGAAATCAGAAGTTGGTATGCTTCATAATGACACACGAGATTTTGCAATGAAGATGAGAGACATGGAAGGTTTGTAATGCATTTTGGGTATATTCTCTTAATTTCTAGTTTCAAAATTCTGTGACCCTGGAGAAACTCCAGCCAGACTGTGACTATGTTGTGGAATTACAAGCCATAACGTACTGGGGACAGACACGGCTGAAGAGTGCGAAGGTGTCCCTTCACTTCACATCCACACATGCAACCAACAGTAAGTGACTGTGTCATGTTTTTCAAGATGACTGTGACCTGACGGGCACCATATCACATCAAGGCACAATGGAGGGAGAGTGAGTCTTTGATTTGGAATAATTACATGGCAAGTCTTCTTACCCACATGCGTGTGACTATAGTATTTAAACTATGACATACAAAACAGTTTGACTTTTGAATTCTTTCTTATGGTTTTTATCTATTGTAGGTGCAATTTTGGTGTTGTAATGGAAATTTAAGAAAACTTACCTTGTCTCATTTTAACAGATTGACTGTTTTTATGTTTACATGACGTGTACATGTGCGTATTACATACTTGTTTTTAAGGCGAATACATACAGTTAAACTGTTACAAATTGATGTCATTTCTGCTTCCACTGTTTCTGTAGTTTTTTGTTGTTGTTGTTTTTGTTTTTTTGTTTTGTTTTGTTTTTTTGAGACAGAGTCTAGCTCTGTCACCCAGGCTAGAGTGCAATGGCATGATCTCAGCTCACTGCAACCTTCGCCTCCCGGATTCAAATGGTTCTCCTGCCTCAGTCTCCTGAGTAGCTGGGATCACAGGTGCGCACCACCACGCCCGGCTAATTTTTGTATTTTTGATAGAGACAGGGTTTCACCATGTTGGCCAGGCTGGCCTTGAATTCCTGACCTCAGGTGGTCCACCCACCTCAGCTTCCCAAAGTGCTGGGATTACAGTGTTTCTCTAGTTCTGTATACAATACACTTATTTTTGTGCAATTATTTTACGTATTTATCTCCCAAATCAAAGTTGGGCACTTTGAAGGCAGAGACCAAAATATATCATAGTACTGAGAATAATGTGTGTGTATGTACGCGAGTGGATGGGGAACACAAAAAGTGATGTGGCATGCCTGTTTTTCTTAGTACTACACAGTGGTCATAATTACTGCTCGAAAGGTTACCTAATACTCCATTGAGTGAAGTTACTAAATCTTTCTCATATTGCTTTTCCTTGTATCTTTTTTTCTTACCTAGTATGTTAGTATGTTTGCTGGGAACTGAGCAAAACAAGCGAAGACTCTTATATGACACTCATATCAGTCAGAGAATAAGTTACTTGATGTTTCTGGCTTTGTTCAAACATCGATACCGGTTAGAACTTCCATGTAGAGGCTCCTAGCAAGGTTTCAGGAAATTGGGACAGATTAAATGAGAGTAGGAGGGAGGAGGCCTTTGTCTCAGGGGCTCCTTCGATGTTGATTTTTTTTAGGCTAGCAGGACCCCGTCATCATAGCTGCCTTTGATCAGGGCGGTGGGCCTCGTTCAGAAGGAGAAGAATGTGTTAAACATTTGTCTGAATTTAGGAAAGGCAATGCTGCTCTTGCAGAGTGAGGCACAGGGGTTGCTCATAATTACCTTCCACCCCTGGGAAAACGTAGGATCCAAATGGGCAGGTTTGTTTGAAATAATGCTTCAAAAAATGGTCCAGAAACAGAGATTTCTGTCTGTTTGAGAAATAGTCTCTTTGGAGATTAAATGGACTTGAAATGGTCGATTTGTATGTGAGTCTCGGTACAATATAAATTTTATCTAAAAGTTCTCATGGAAATATATTTAGTAACCTCATTCATTTTTAATCCATTCATCCATCTACTCATCACATTGAAATTGTGTGCCTATGAATTATGACATCCCTGTGTCTAACGCCAGGAATACTATATTATACATATACACACACTATATGCTGTAATACACTATATACACTATATATATGCACTGTATAGCAATACGTTCCATACTTTTCTATAAATATAGTGTGCACATAGGTATACATGTACACATATGCATACATATACACATGTGTCTACAAATACACACAAACATGCACATAACTATACACACACATACATTATTCCCAGCACGATGATGTATTTTGGTTTCTGCCTTAAAAGTGCCTAATTTTGAATTTGAGAGATAAATATGTAAAATAATAACAAAGATCTGTGTGTAGCATACAGACAGAACTACAGGAAACAGTGGAAGCAGAAATGACCGACATGGAGGTGGGAATGAGAATCACATCATACCTCATGAAGTCCTGAAGAGTGAGCGGTCTGCAGGCTCACAAGGAATGGACATCATTCCACACAAATGCAGCAGTGTGGATGAGCGTAGAGAGTTAGAGAAGCATATTGCATGGGCAAAGAACTCAGCGTGAGGAAAGAATGAAGGTGGATGGGCCACTGCTCTCTCCCCTGGAGGTCTCATGAGTTGCAGGGATTTAACCACCATCTGTGTGCTAATGACTCCCTGCCCTTCCACCCTGACCACTCTTTGAACTCCAGAGTCCTACATTCAGCCACCCACTTAGCACCTCCACTTGGATGGCTTGCAGATATTTCAAATAAAATGTTCAAACACGAGGTCTGGATTTTCGCCCATACCTTTTCCTCTCTTGGGCTTGCCTATCTCAATAAATGGCACCAAGATTCAGCCTTTTGCTCAAGCCAAACATGCAGAAGTCATTTTCTTTAAAGAGCAGTCAGTTTTCTTTAGAAAATATCAGTGTACTTACAGATCTCTCTCTTTTTGGAGTCCACTCTCAAGACAGCTACCTAGTTATCTTCAATTCTCACTTTTCCCAAAACTGCATCCTTCACTATATTCTTCTATATTCCTTACCAACCCCCTTCTCAGGCCGAAATCCTTTAAACTTCAGCTCATGCAAGAGCTGTCTTTCTCTACTGGTGGTGGAGATTTCATCTGTTGTATAAAATAAGCATGTCTTTTAGTCTCCTGGTTCTTCCAATAAACAACATTCTTTCCCCATTAGAAACTGGTATGGGATTGCAAATTCCCATAATTTAATATCTGTTAATTTCCAGAACCAAAAGCAAGGAAAAAAAAAGTCCAACCTCAGCTTGTCCTTGTTGAAGTTACATTATCTAGAGCCTTGTCATGGTCCAGCCCACAGACAAAACTTTTATGAAACCCTGGATCTCTGTAGCATATCCACAGCTTTTTCACCCTTCCTGGGGCATCCCCACAGAATCCTGTAACTCAGGGAGATATTCTTTAATTAGATCCTTCTGCTACCCTCTGAAGTATGATTATAAACCTTTTTCTGTCCTTTAAGTCACATTGCACATGGAGTGCACAGTCCAGTCTAAATCCCTTCTTCTCAGTAAGCCATGCAGTTCCCCATAAATATAAACATATCTATTCTCATGTCCAGGTTTATCTTCTCATGTCTTCTGTATTCCAAGGTGGAGTCAGCCTTCCTTCTGTATGTGGTGGACTTCACCATGTGGTTTCTAGACCCATTCCTTCCCAACTCAGATACCTGCACTGACTGAAGTCAAATCTCATCTACGTCAGAGACCATGGATTATCTATATATCTGGTCACGGTATCCATCATAATCCCTGGCATATACACATGGCAACAAAAATATTTTTGAAACCAAGTTAATTAGTTACTCCCTTGTTTGCCTACAACCTCAACCTATTCCTCTCCACTGGCTTGATCTGCTCAGCTTCCAGTTCTAAAGCAAAGCTTTCACTGATGCTGGTTTCATTCTAGCTACCATCTTATCTTTCTCCTTTCCACATTTTTTCTCAAATTTCTGCAATCTATTTCTCAATCTCACTTTTCCACCAAATCTGCCCCTGCTAATTTCTAAGTCTGGTGGATGTTTTCCATTGCAATTTTATTGACCACTTCTGATGAGTTTGTCCTTGTTTAACTACACTTTCCCCATTGTTACATCTTGACCTTTGTATATTTGACTCCCAGATGTCTTAATTTTTCTCGTACCTCAGTTTCCTTGTAGGATCTCCTGCCTCCGTCCAGCTCTTGGACATTGGAGCTCTCCAGGGTTCTACCTTATCTGCTCTGACAATTTAGTTACTACCTACTCATGGTCTGTTCTCAATGACTCAGCTCCAGCCTCGATTTCTCCACTAATACCCAATGTCTCTAGCCTGTCATTCCCTGTATCTGAATGTCATACAGGCATCTCAACCTCAACATACTCCACATTGAACTCACTCCCTCCACTTACAAAGCTTGATGTTCCCAGGTATCTCTGGTCTCCATTGAGGTTACTACTGACCAGAAGCTTGGGAGACTTCCTTTTACCACTTCCTGTTCACTTCAGTTTGTTTCTAGGTCCTGCAATTATTTCAGGACCCACAGGTTTCTTGAATTTTCCAGGAACATAGTAAGAGCTCAGTAAATTGATTGTAACTCAGCTGAACGCAACTGTCTTTCCATTCAACCTGCTCTGTGCCACACTCCAGCACTACAGCTTTCTTAAGCTTTCATCTGCTGTGGTCATAAATACTAAAGGGGAAGAGAGAAAGAAATGGCTTTTGGTCTCATCTTGGAACAACCAAGGTTGGACATCTTTTACAAGCCATTTGCATGTTTTAACTGTGTCCTCCAAGAGTTTGTGTTCTCACTTGGTTGGCTGTTCCAGAGGAATTATCTTTACCAGTGGGAGTTTTTAGCCAGGTGGGGAGACACTGGAATTATGGCAGTTAAATGAACAAAGCAAGCAGTTAAATGAAAGAAATCTATTCGACTGGTTGATTCCCTGTGTTAAGGTCTTTTGCTAATTATCTTTTAAAGCTAGGTAATACTTTAGCTGACCAATGAAGAGATATGGTAGTTAACCTATCAAAGACCACTTTATTCTAAAGACTGATTCCTCTTACATAGATTCAGAAAAGGAATAAAATAAAAGTAAGAAAAAGAAGTCATAGTGCAAAGTACCTATAGTAACACATATTGTTTGGGTCTCAGGTGATTCCGCAGAAGAGAGTGACTTTTCAACAGATTATGTAGGATACAGTTGAATGTTTGTCAGGATTTTATATCCCAATGTTGATATATAATCTCATAAACACTAGTCTGTGACTTTTATAAGAACATTATATATTTCATCACGAACCAACTAGAAGTAAAGAATAATTACAACGTTATAGTATAAGCAAGGGAAATTACATTTTATAGGAAGGAGAGTAGTAAATGTCA